TGGCCTTCAGAAGTTGTGAAGTTGAAGTCATTTCAATCCTGAACTACAAATATTCTCCTTTATCAATTGCTACTGTGCTTCTCTGGGTGTAGAAATGAGAAGTTTCTGGGATGTTTGATCAGGGATACTAAAGATATGTGCCAGTCTTGAATACTATGGACCATGTTTTCTACAGCACCTGAAGGCAGGACAAGAAGCAATGGATGCAAACTAATCAAGGAGAGAAGCAACCTAGAACTAAGAAGGAATTTCCTGACAGATAGAACAATTAATCAGTGGAACAACTTGCCCCCAGAAGTTGTGGATGCTCCAACACTGGAGGTTTTTAAGAAGAGACTGAACAGCCACCTGTCTGGAATGATGTAGGGTCTCTTAAGCAGGGGGCTGGACCTGAGCAGGGGTTGGACTAGAAGACCTCAAAGGTCCCTCCTATCCTCTATTCTGATTGATTGAGCTGATTGAAAACTATACCAATGAATCCATCCTGGTAATACCTGTGTGAATTGCTGATTGTGACAATGTTGTAGCCATTACACCCACTGACACTGTTGCAGAAAGGAGTTCTAGTGCAAGTAGCTCTTGGCTTACAGCTATTTGTTCAGTGATCAGTCTAAGTTACTACAAGACTGGAAAAAAAGTGGTGTATAATCAGTCCTCACAGCTACAAGATTGTTTTGAACGAACCAATTGGGATATTTTTGAACATCAAGATTTAGAGCATTATACAGCTGCAGTTTTGGGATATATGGCCCATTGCATTGATACTGTTACGACAAACAAGTGTATTCGATCCTAACCAAACCAAAAACCATGGATGACTGGCACTGTTAGGTCCCTTTTGTACAAGAGAAATAAGGCATTTAAGTCTGGAGATGCCTCACTGTATAGTGTGGCTAGAGCAAATTTGAAGCGTGGTATTAAACAAGCCAAGGCTGCATACAAGGGAAAGATAGAAGACTGGTTATCTAATAATAACCTGAGACAAGCTTGGCAGGGGATTCAGCAGTTAACTAATTTTAAAGCACAAAAGGCTAGTATGGGTGGAAAACATGAGTTGGTAGAGGAATTAAACACCTTTTATGCCCGGTTTGAGATGAACCAACTGGAAGTGGAGTTACCATCACCACTACCATTGTGGACCGAGCATTGTGCTCCTCTTGTTGTGAAGGAGCATGATGTTAGGTGTATAATGAAAGCGGTAAACTCTAGAAAAGCTGCAGGACCTGATAACATTCCTGGTTGTGTAGTAAAAGAATGTGCAGATCAGTTAGCCGGAGTGTGGACTGAGATTTTCAATCGTTCTTTGCTACAGTCTCTTGTTCCAACTTGTCTAAAGGCTTCTATTATTGTTCCAGTACCTAAGAAGTCACCTGCAAATGCTTTAAATGACTTCAGGCCGGGAGCATTGGCTTCTGTGATAATGAAGTGCTTCGAGCAGTTAGTTCGGAAATATATTATTTCTTGCCTTCCTGTTACCTTTGACAATTATCAGTTTGCCTATAGAACAAACAGATCTACTGAGGATGCTGTCAATATTGTTCTTCATACTGCTCTATCTCACTTGGAGAAAAAAGGAACGTATGTCAGAATATTATTTGTTGATTTTAGTTCTGCTTTCAACACAATATTACCCCACAGATTGATGTCTAAGCTTAAAGATCTGAAGCTACCGGACTCCATATGTTGGTGGATTCTAAACTTTTTATCACATCGTTCACAAAGGGTTAGGATGGACATATATCTCTTCTGCGAAGATCCTCAATGCTGGCACTCCTCAGGGCTGTGTATTGAGTCCACTTTTATTCACTATTTATACGTCTGATTGCACCTCCATTCATCTGAGTAATAAGATCATTAAGTTTGCAGATGATACAACGTTGGTGGGACTCATTTCTGATAATGATGAGTCTGCGTACAGGGATGAAGTTCATCAGCTGTCCCTCTGGTGCAAAGTAAACAATCTTATTTTTAATATAAATAAGACGAAGGAATTCATAGTGGATTACAGGAAGAGCAGTTCGGACATTCAGCCGTTGTACATCGATGGTGTTTTGGTAGAACAGGTGGCAGAATGTAAGTTTTTAGGTATCACCCTGAAACAGGATCTAACATGGGGGGCAAATACTTTAGCCCTAGAAAAAAAGGCTCATCAACGACTGTATTTTTTAAGACTTTTAAGATCACAACAACTGCCAGAGAGTCTGTTGCTTGCCTTTTATCGAAGCTCTATAGAGAGCATTTTATCTTATTGCTTCTGTGTGTGGTTTAGGAGTTGTACAGAGGCGGAGAAAAGGGCACTCCAAAGAGTGATAAAAAGGGCACAAAAGATCAGCGGATGTTCTCTTCCCTCATTGGAGGATTTGTACAACATGGGATGTAGAAGGAAGATACAAAAGATCTTGAGAGACCCTTCGCATCCAGGCCACCCGATGTTTGAGATCCTACCATCAGGAAGACGATATAGAGTGCTGAAAGCCAAGACAAGTAGATTTCAACATAGCTTTTACCCAAGTGCTGTGATCAGGTTAAATGCAGAGTTATGAATCTGGTGGTCTTAACACATATATCCTGGTTGTACAGTTTTTAAATTGTTATTTGTTTTAATTTGTTTTATATTGTTATTTGTATACATCTTTTGGTGTTGTTTAGTTGTATGTTGCGAAAGAGCACCTTATTTCGTTGTTCTCAGGTTCCTGAGCACAGTGACAATAAATTTATCTTATCTTATCTTACAACACCATTGCATCATCCTCGTGGCCATGTGATCAAAATTCAGGTGCTTGGCAACCAGCATGCATTTACAATGACTACAGCATCCCAGGGTCATCTGATTGGCATTCGTGACTTTCCCAACTGTCTTCCAACAAGCAAAGCCAATGGAAGCCGGATTTGTTTCATGATCACACAATTCACTTAACAACTGCAGTGATTTTTCTGGACAACCAAAGCAAAAAAAAAAAAAAAAGTTGTAAAATCAGGTGGGACTCACTGAACTTGCTTTGCTTAGGAATGGGAACATCCGGTCCCCAACTGTGAGTTGAGGACTCCCTGTATAACAAAGAAAATGGCTGTTGAATAAATATGCTTGTTTTGGCATTTATTGGTTTGGATACATATAGATATTAAGTGTTGGAATCTGGACTGTTTGTTAATACTTCAGAACCCTGGAGTCCTGAGCACGACACTCACATGGTACAAGGAGATGCTATCAACTGTCTTATGTGAGCAGGTGAAAATATGGTAATTAATTTGGACAAATGACACATCAGTCACAACTTTCAGAACCTGAAAGCCCCAGATGGACTTCCCAGTCCTCATTACAAGAAGGAATAAAGGGACCAAATCCAGCTCTTTAAATCTTCTTCAGTATCAAATCACAAAGATGCAAAACAAAAGGATAGGCAACTTCCAGCAACACCCTTGCAAATAATTAGTTCATGTCCTCTGACAAAAGGTATCTATGTTGGCAGCCTGCTTGCAAAGGGAAAAAAGAGTATAGTAACAAGAGAAACCAGAGTGCCTCGCTTAAAAAACAACAGTAAATAAATAACTGAAACTCTTCAATGACTATAGAAGTCATCACGTTCGAGCAAACTGAATTCTTCAGCTTCCATCAATAATTTTGGCCTTATGGATTCCAAAAGTACATGGATTAAACTTACTTCCACCAATAGCATATTCTGTAGAGCTGGGGTTACCACAGGCAAGGTCTACTATGATTTGGTGGCGCAGTGGTTAGAATGCAGTTCTGCAGTCTAATTTTGCTGACTGCTTCTTTTCAGCAGTTCGAGTCTCACCGGCTCAAGATTGATTCATCCTTTCATCCTTCTGAGGTCGGTGAAATGAGGACCCAGATTATTGAGGGCAAGATGCTGACTCTGTAAATAAACTGCTTAGACAGGGCCGTAAAGCAGTATATAAGTCTAAGTGCTACTGTGATGACCTGGGACGCAGCACAAAGGCAACAGTCACATAAGTAAGAAAAGTCCCTTTAATACCTCCAACTTTGCCCCCAATGTCCAGTTACCTTAGGCTGGAGAAAAAACTTTCCTAAGAACAGTCTTTAAGTGGAAGAAATTCAGTCCGAAAACAAAGCACATATAAACTGTAAATAAAAATCCACCCAAACCACGCTACAGTAATTAACTTGACAGGGCAGGAGAAGGAATTGCAGACTTGAAAGCACAGCAAAACACAATTGAGAAGATGCCAGGAACCCAAATAAGCCTCGACAATAAAAGATAACTTACGAATTTGCTTCCAACAAGTTGCTGTGTGCAAACTCCCTTTTTAAACACTGTTCCCAGCTGCTCCTAATGAAGGGAATCAGGGCCCTTTCCTCCCCCGTAAGCCATGTAACTCACATTGCTCCCTTCTTCGTTCCTCCCTGCATGCCCTAGGATGAAGAGGGGGTGGGCCTAGATCTTCCTCTGAATTCCTTCTGCCTTGCTCTACCTCTCCCCTGGCTCTGCCCAGCCGAACTTTGCCCTTCCCCAGTTTCTTCCACAGCCAACGGAGCCACACTCCCACTCCCTGTCAGCTGCCCGGCCTCCCCCTCGGAATCAGATTCCAACAGGGGCATGACAGCTTCTGCTATTCAAGTCTTAAAATGTCATACTTCCCTTTCCACAGATTGCAAGGCTAAGAAACATCTCTCAAAGTGTTTGATGGGGACATTTATGGGAAGAAAGGATAACATTATAATTCAAGAATCCAATTTTAAAAAACCCAATCATTTTTCTGCTCATTCAGAGCAACCTTGGGGTGAGCACGCCTAATTTCAAACCAGAAAGACTCAGTAGAGGTTACATTGAGTTTTATTTGAGAAAAGCAGCATTGAATTTTCTTTTTTGTAAACAGAAGAGAGAGTATTTAACATACGTAACTAAGGCATAATTTGAAAGGATACAACAGTACACAGTGTATATTATATTCAGCAGCAGCATTCCAAACAAAGTGAATATGTTCTTCAGAGACATTGTACTCGTTCTTTACTCTTCAAAATATTTAGGGGAAAAAAATAAAGTCCCAAGTGACTTGGTTCAGAGAAGTTTCTGAGGCTGTTACTACATAATCGTTCAAACACAGCCCATTCAAACAGGTTTGTGATGCCTTCAAACACTCAGAAACATCACTAACCTACAGTAGTCTCTGTTACTCTGCTGCTTTTGCTAGAATAAATGGTGTATTGTCTTCAATAAAAGGTAGTTTTTTCTGAAGTAACACAGTGGCCTTGGTTTGGAAGAGCTCCCAGAGCCATAAGGGCACCAGAAAACTTCGAACGGAAATGGAGTTGCTCAACACTCACTATTAGCAACTGAGAAAATTCATGATTGAGTCCTTTGTGGTCTTAAAATGGCTTTTTTCTTTACCACACAAAACCTACGTATCCTGCTTTTTTGCTGTCCAAAAACTCCCCTCAGAGCCATTCAAATAAAAAATAATAAATCAACCAAGTCTACCCATCCGCCGCAAACTCTTTAAAAAAAAACCATATAAAAAGAAAATAAATCCAGCAATTCATGAAATCCAGCATATTAAACTGAAGACACAAAAAGTCCGTAATTTTCTATTAAAAAGCATAATAAAAATGCATTTAATCCCCATTCAAAACAATTTCTTTGCATTTTAAAAATGCTACAGAATGGCAATCCACTACTATAACCACTCTAGAGGTGGTGGTCATTTTTTTTTGGGGGGGGGGTGAGCAAGGAGATATAAACATAGCTTATTATGAATTAGCCATTTTTGATTTATGATCTAATATTTGAACTAGAGCTAATAACCCTCTTTTTTTAAAAAAAACAACCTCTTTCATATCAGTGGAACATGATCAAGTATCAGCTATTGTGTTCACAGTCTGAAATGTCAGTTTGAAGATTTAATTACTTTTCAAATCTGCTGCGAATGTTCTGTTCTTCAGCCTTTGCAAGATCTTATTCCAAAAGAAGCATATTAGCAGATGGAAAGGAAAAATGCCACATCCATTAAAGGCATTCTTTAAAAGTAAAGACGTCTGTCTTCTGATCTTCAAGTCCGGTAGCTTGGTAGGTTTTCAATGTTTTGGTAGCATAACGGATAACTGCACAGTATTCTGAAATGCAAGGGGGTGGGCGGGCGGGAAAGCTGCATTAAGAACAAATTCTTTAAGGTTTGTAATTATTATACAGAAGTTACAATCTGGCTAAATAAAAGCACTACATAATTAGCAATAGATTTTTTGGTAAAAGATAACATCCAGAGTATGCACAAAAGTTATAGGATGCCAAATAAGAGCCTTAATTCACTTCAACCCAGAACCTGAAGGCTTTTGTTGCTTGAATCCTGCTTTTGACGCAACAAAATTAATGTTTTACGTCATTATTACTTTGAGGCAGAAACAAATACAGGTAGACCTTGACTTACAACAGTCTGTTCAGCAACAGAAATTTTGGGCTCAATTGTGGTTGTAAGTTGAAGACTACTGAGGTCAACTAAAGTAAGATGTGTTTTCTCCCTACAAAATACCCTATTTTGTGTTCCAAATCTACAACATTTTTTATTTTTATTTATTTATTTGATTTGCCAATCGTTTACAAGATAACAGGTAGAAGTGTAAACATAGCTATGAATACATGAAATGGATACATTACAAGAAAAAGAAAAAAGAAACAATAGGACAGGGACGGTAGGCACGTTGGTGCGCTTATGCACGCCCCCCACAGACCTCTTAGGAAAGGGGTGAGGTCAATAGTAGACAGTCTAAGGTTAAAGTTTTTGGGGTTGGGGGAAGAAACCACAAAGTCAGGTAGAGTATTCCAGACATTGACCACTCTGTTGCTGAAGTCATATTTCCTGCAATCAAGTTTGGTGCAGTTTACTTTGAGTTTGTATCTATTGTGTGCTCTTGTGTTGTTATGGTTGAAGCTGAAGTATTCATTGAGAGGTAGGACATTGCAATGTATGATTTTATATACTATATTTCTTCTTACCCAGAGTTGAAGGTATATATTAATCACACTTGCCACTCTCACTTTTCTAGAATACAGAAGGGAAACCTGTGATTTTCCAAGTGTTGCTGGATTACATCTTGGCATGTCTTACCATTGGTTAAAAACCTGGGTGTTGTGGCCTGTTGGCCACCAGCCTCTCCAGCAGCAGAATCAGAGGAGGAGGGGTGGAAGTCAGGCTCAGCATCGGGGCAACCTAGGAGCTCTTGAGGGGGAAGAGGGAATGGAGCTGGCAGACAGAGAGAGACAGAGAGGGAGCCTGAGCCGTCCATCAGCCCTCAGATGGAGAATCAACAACCCCCAGGTCTGGAGATGGCTGATGAGGAAGAAGAGAAACACGGAGTCCAACGCCTGATGTGCGGATGCGCAGAAGGCAGGGAACGGGTGAGCAGTGGAAATCCGTGGGCCAATCCTGGGGAAGGAAGAGCCGCCACTGCTAATGAGGCCCCTCCCTAGCTCTGGCCCTAGGCAGGGGGAGGAGATGAATAGATGAGGTAGACAACTATTCATCTTCTGGACAGACAGACTTGTTAGCCTACGATAGAAACTTTTTCCCGGGGCCGCCAGCATTCCTAATAAAGGAATCTTCTGAGTTCACGTCAGCGGGTTTGTCGTATTTGGGGAGCTGGGTCAGAGCACTGGGATTAAAACTTTAGCAACATATAAGAGACACAGTTGCTTTTGTATTTAAATAGGGTTGGTTGCTGGCTGATTCGGAAGTCAGCTCACCAATTTTACTGTGGATTTGCCAACTATAAGATATGGGTCGATTCCAGTTTTTATAGCCTTTGCCCTGATCCAAATTCTCCAGGTGATTCCTTCAGTGTTGCAAGTGCCATCACAAGAATGATCGAACTTTTTAAGATATCACCTTCTAGAAGGTGGGTCCCCAAACTCTGGACTGTAGCCCACTAATGGGCCATGAGCTGTTCGGAACCAAGCCATGGAAATGGTGGGCGAGGGTGCGCATGCACCCCCGCTTATGCTAGTAGCAGGTGCGTGCGCCCATTTCTGATGTGGAACCATCCCCTCTCCTCCCCCTGCCGGTCTGCCAAGCCAGAAAAGTTGGGGAAACTCTGTTCTAGAGACCGTCTACTTCAGGGACCTCCAAATTTGGCAACTTTATGACTTGTGGACTTCAACTCCCAGAATTGCCCAGCCAGCATGGCTGAGGAATTCTGAGAGTTGAAGTCCACAAGTTGCCACATTTAGAGACAACCCCGCCCACCCTCCAATCTAGTTCATGGCATGTCCTGCTTGGGGCTTCAGTACAGATCTGGTCCCTATTTGTATGCTTCTGGAATCTGTATTTATTTATCCAGACTCTTACTACTTGCGCCTCTTGACATTCTTCAGCGTTCTGTTTCAGTGTTTAAACAAAAGTACTTAATTATGATGTGAACACATAGGTGTACATGCATGCATGTAAGCATGGATTGTAAGTATCTACTGTAAAATATTCAGGATCTTTAAAACGCTTTCTGGAGAACACCAGTATATATCAAACCGTTTGGCAAATGCAAAAACTCGAATTCCAAGAATTGCTGGGTGGGGATGTCTGGATCACACAACGTATCTTTTTAAAAGTTGGAGTCTAAGCCATCTGAATATGTCAGGGTAGCTTCTTATTGATAACGCAAGGAAGTGCACTGTTAATGGGTGAGCTGATGAGCTCTATCCAATTTAAAGGTTCAAGTTTGTTTAAACAAAAAAACACCTGTATCTACCTGCCTGCAAATTAATAATTCAACGCATGCTCATGGTTCAAAAGTTATTACTCTTGGGAGTGTAAGAGAATATTTCTTGATATCAGATCCAACCATCTGGGATTTGCCAGGCCTCAGCTTAAGTTTTAGGGTAGCCTGAATGATGTTCTGCTCTTAAAGATTTCACTGGGCTGTTCTGGATTTTAAGTGCGTAACCGTAACTCTATAGCATATTTTAAATGTTTGATTTTCTAAATTCTATCAATGTGACCTATGTTACTACTGCAATGTTTTAGTATTACTGGTAATTCACAAATTACAACCATTCATTTAGTGACTGTTTGAAGTTACGGTACTGAAACAAGTGACCCATGACCATTTTTCACACTTATGACCACTGCAGCATCCCCATAGTTATGTGATTGCCTTTTGTGGCCTTCTAACAAGCCAAGTCAATGGACAAGCCAGATTCAATTAACTGTGCAAGTAACAACTGCAATGATTCATTAACAACTGTGGCAAGAAAGGTCATAAAATGGGGCAAAATTAACAGCTGCCTCACTTAGCAACAAAAATGTTGGGCTCAATTGTAGTTGTAACTGTTAAGTCGAGGACTGTCTGTACTGTACCAACCGTAGTTAGTTTTTATTGCATTGGAGCTTTTTCAAGGTAAACTTACCCTGGGCACGGTGGGGCTTTGCTCATTAAAAGTATTCTGGACACTTAAAAAAACAACACCCACATATACTTAAATAACAAATTAAATAGAAACATCAAATTACTTTCAAGTTCTGATGGGTTTCTGACCATTCCATGGATCCAATCTGAGGTATAGCAGTGAGTAGCAAACTAGTTGCTTTATTTGCATTCTCCTTCAGTGTCTTTAGAACTCTGTCCACTGAGACCTAGAAGAACAAGATAGTCATTAGGCTCTCTTCATTCATTCATTCATTCATTCATACATACATACATACATATTTGCCTTGCGTGAGTGAGTTACCACAAAAATTGAAATTAAACCAGCCAACTATACACTTTCTCTCTCTCCCTTCCTCCCTCCTTCTCAGAACAGAAACACTCAGGATTTGATCTTATACCCATTTAAAGGTAAATACGTGCTAGTCGTTTCCGGCTCTAGGGGGCGGTGCTCATCTCCGTTTCAAAGCCAAAGAGCCAGCGCTGTCCGAAGACGTCTCCGTGGTCATGTGGCCAGCATGACTAAATGCTGAAGGTGCATGGAACGCTGTTACCTTCCCACCAAAATGGTCCCTATTTTTTCTACGTGCATTTTTACATGCTTTTGAACTGCTAGGTTGGTAGAAGCTGGGACAAGTAAGGGGAGCTCACTACATTACACGGCACTAGGGATTCAAACCGCCGAACTGCCAAGCTTTCTGATCGACAAGCACAGCGTCTTACCCACTGAGCCACCGCGTCCCATTTACACAATGGGATTTACTCTTGTGTAAATGGGAAATTTACATTTCCCATTTACACAAGAGTAAATCCCAATAAACAAGATATAGAGTATAGAGATGCAGGACAATGATATCAAACATTAGGTGTGTTCCAGTATAATTTCAATCAAAGCAATTCAGAAAAGTTTTTGGATAGATGCAGACAAATAATCTTTATCACAGTAACATTTGAACACGTAACTTTATTATGAGCATCCTCACAAGGATTCCTTTCTCAAGGAAAAACAAAACCTGCCTAATATATCAAACACATTTAACAGAATTTTATTTTAAAAAGTCAATAGCTAATGTGAAAAAAAAAAACTAAATAGGATTAAGGTTAGGTAAAATGTAGTTACGTGCACAAACACATATACCAGGAACCATTAAAAGGTAGTCAGCACCATATAGTGGTTAGCATGGACCAGGTAGCCAGGGTTCAAATATACCCTCAAGCACAAAAGCTTTCTAAGAGATTTTGTGCCAGTCACTCTCTCTGAGTGTAGCCTATCTCAAAGGGCCACTGAGATGGGGATATAATAGAAAGGAACGCCACATATACCATAGAGCACTAGTGGTGCAGTGGCTAGAATGCTGTATAACTGTGCTCACTGCCAGGAGTTCGAATCTCACCAGGCTCAAGGCTGACTCAGCCTTCCATCCTGCCGAGGTTAGTAAAATGAAGGCCCACATTGTTGGGGGCAATAGGCTGACACCGTAAACCCCTTAGAGAGGGCTCTGATTACAATTTTTCAATTGTAGATTTCTCAAATGGAATTCAATAGGCATCCACTTACAATTTTAGCACATTTAAGCTCTTTACTCTATTCTACTAACAACCAGGGGTGATTTATTTTTGCGAGAGTATCTAGGCAAGTATCTCTGAAGCAGCAAGACTCATTGGCGAACATTTGTGTTCAAAATATAGCAACTTCTCTTTGATTGTGAATTCCCTTTACAGACAAGATCAGCCAATCAAACATAGCATCCATTCAAGCAACAGTAACAACAGTGAACAGCTATTGTTAGGGGCTTAGATCAGGGTCAAAAAACCCACACCCAACCATAGAAGTTCACTGAATGATATCCGGGTCATTCATTATCTCTTATATCCCAACATATCTCCCAGGTTTATTGAGTGAAGGAACAGAAGTAGCCCTTGAGTTACTATGGCTCATTTAGTGACCATCTGAAGTTACAATGGCACTAAAAATGACTTACGACCATTTTTCACATTTATGACCATTGCAGTATCCCCATGGTCACCTGATCAAAATCCGGACACTTGGCAACAACTGACCCAAATCTATCACCTTTGCTGTGTCCCAGGGTCATGAACCTTTTGCGACCTTCAAACAAACAAAGTCAGATGCTCTTTACAGCTGAGTTATTCACTTAACAACTTCAGCCATTCACTTAACAACTGGGCAGGGAAGGTCATAAAATGGGACAAAACTCACTGAACAACTTTCTCACTTAGCCACAGAGATTTTGGTCTCACCTGTCCATCGAGAGCTACCTGTATTAGGAGAAAGTGTGCATGGAAATGTCTACCTGGAAATAGGTGTTGTATGAAAACTACAAGTGTTAACAACTGTGGCAAGAAAGATAGCAAAATGGGGCAAAATTCGCGTAACTGTCAGCAACAGAAATTTTGGGTGAAGGCTATCTATACCGCTGACTTTACCATAAGTAAGAGAAAGCAAAGGTTTCCCCCTACCCAATAATTAGAGTGGATTGGTAAGTAAGTCGGTCTTACATTTGCTGCAGTGAAGATTCAGATAAAAACAGAAGCTGCTAAAACCAAAGAAATGGACATGTGATGGTAATGAATGGTGACAGTGCTACTGCTGGAAAGTTGCCTTTAACAATAACCTCCAGATTAACTGCTCCTGGAAGGTGCTGTTCAGCTGGGAAATTCATATGCTATTTAATAATCCCTGGAGTGCTCTTTAATAAAGACCTCATACTCTCTTGCCTATTCTGCTATTCTCTCAGCTCATTTCCCTCCAGGTTTATTCCTATCTTCCTTGGTGCAATTATTGCTCCCATTCCCCCCCCCCTCCAAATTTTGACCCTATTTTTCTGTATGTGCTTGTTTATTTAAATGTATGAAAGCAACTGTGTATTATTTATGAAATTTATCTGACTGTCTGAAACCAACTGGATTCTAGGCAGCATCCAGACTATATGAACCAGGGGTCCCCAACCACCGGGCCTCGGACCGGTATCGGTCCGTGGAACATTTTCTACTGGGCCACCGGTTTGCTGGGCGCCGCCATCTTGTTTCGATGAGAAAGTGCTTCCAGGTGAGCTTTTCGGGTTGGAAAGCGGCGTTTGGGTCCTGAAGGAATCCTCGCGCCTTAGTTTCATCGAAGGGGGGGGGCGGCTTTGAACGAAACTAAGGCGCGAGGATTCTTTCAGCACCCAAGGCAAGGCGAGCCGAGCGACCGTCCCGAAGCCGTCCCGAAGCACATCAACAAAGGTACAAAGGAGGAGTTGAAGGTGGCGGGGAGAAGCGGGGGACGGTTGGCTGGCCGGTCGCTCGGCTCGCCTTGTCTTGTCATGCATGCTGATGCCGGTACTGGGCCGCGGATCATTATGTGATGCCGGTACCGGGCCGTGGCACAAAAAAGGTTGGGGGCCACTGATATGTACTATACAAAACACACACATACACACAATAAATGTGTTAAATAAATGAATAGCATATTACTAAAAGTGTAACACGAAGTCAGACTATAAGAAGTCAAATAGTAAATAAGAATAATTTTGAAGGCCTTCTGGAACAACCGTGTTTTCATCTACTTCTAAAAGGATGGAGCCACACATACTTCAGATAACAAGTTGTTCCGCAGCAAGGGAGCTGCTATTGAGAAGGCCTCCAGTCCAGGCAACAAGTTTATTGTATACAAAGACTGATTTATAAAATTAGCTGAACATACAGAAATGAATCTGACAAATCTGGTCAGGAAAAAAAATAGCATAATCTTTTCTGTCTTTTTGCTGAAGGAGGAAAAGACCGAACTGATAGCTTGGGAATTAAAAAGGGCCAAAGAGGATGGGAAGAAGCGTGAGATGGTAATGACTTATAAAAAGAAGGGTGGAAGGCATAACTAAATGTTTTTTCTCTTTTCGTTCCCTTTTTTTCTATCTTTGTTTTGTATACTTTTACTGTATCAAAAACATTCACACACACACACACACACACACACACACACACACACACACACTGCTCCTTTCTGTCTGTGTGGTTTGTATCAAGCATGTACAGTATATGTGCATGTTTGCATAAATATTACAAGTATGTCATATGCACTCATTTCTTCTCACATCCTGGAAGCTGGAGAAAAAAACTGAGCTCCACATAGATTGTCAGAATTTGTAATTTTTCCATCTTTTTTTTTGAGAGGGACTCATAATTTTGAGAGGAAAAAATAATGTGCAAGTAGTATCATTCCAATTTTTGTGTCTATGCTCCTGAAAGTGCGTATCCCCCAAGGAAAACAGCAACTTTCACTCACCGTTTCCTCATGTTCTTTCCAGCAGTCATAATCGGTTGCCATGGCGATGCTCGCATAGCAGATTCCCGCCTCCTTTGCCAGAATTACTTCTGGGACTGTCGTCATATTGATCACATCAGCTCCGCAGCTACGAAACATCAAGCTTTCAGCCCGAGAACTAAAACGTGGTCCCTCAACTGTAATTACTGTCCCCTTTGAGTGACACTTGATTCCAAGCTTTTTGGCAACATCCAGGAGAACCTGAAATCATCAAGGGAGATAAAAAGCTACCATTACTTTAATTCTGGGGTTGTACGTGTGTGTGTGTGTCATTTGAGTCCCCTCCAAAAATTAACTAGTATCTCATACAGAATATCAATGTCATCTCTATTATCTCAATTTTTTTTCCCTGAGCCTGCAGTGATGTTCAAGTGTAATAAAAGCACATCTTCAGGACAACAACAAAAAATACATTAAATTCAATACATTAATGCTTTTAAAAATTATTGCTTTATTTACCCTGGGAACAAACATTGGGGGGGTGGGGTGGGGTTGGATCAATGACTTACAAGGTTCCTTCCAACTCTGTTAATCTGTTATACTTTGTTTTCTGCATGCCAACAATAGCCTCATTTGACCTGGAAAATGAAACGCTAGGAAACAGAAGAATCGAGTGGCTGAGGCTAAGTAAAAAAGGGAAGTTGATTGAGTTTATATTGAAATGTAAACATTATTCCCCATTCTTCTATTTCTGTTGCTTTGAGAATTTGAGGTTGATCAAATTGTTTGGAAGGATGCTGGGTACATAAAGAAGGCCCTTGGGGCCCCTTGAGGTCATAGAGATTCAGGTGACATAACCCCAGATCTAATCTATCTATCTATCTATCTATCTATCTATCTATCTATCTATCTATCTATCTATCTATCTATCTATCTATCTATCTATATCTCACTTCATAGATTTCTTCAAGCAAATGTAATTCTCACGTTTTTGCTGTGTTCAAGGACTAGCAGCAGTCCTCCCTCTGGTCCGCCGCCTATGCAGGAGCGCCGATCGCTCCCATTGGCTGATGCTGTTTGACAGCCGGCTATAAAAGGGAGCTGTCAAATGGCATCAGCTGTCGCCACCAGCTGGCTGTCAGATAGCCTCGGCAGCCGCGGCGACCCTTTATTCGTTAGAATAAAGCTTGTTAGCCTCAGCCTGGCTCCGTCTCTCTCTGTAACCGCCGCTCCACAACACTGGCGACGAAGGTAGGATACAGCAAAGACGACTAGGCAAGACAATTGAGCCGAAGTCACAATAAGAAAGAGCTGAAGCCGCTACGAGCTGATCGAAGTCACCGCCGCTGACGCTCTCCAAAGGGCGCGAACTTTAAAGCTCCCCAGCTGAGGAGCCGAACGCCTCTGACAGGCGCAGCCAGAAACGCTTTTCTAAAAGCGAAGATTCGAAGTTTCCTCAGTTGAGGAAACCGACGCTGCCACTCTAATGGCCTCAAATCCGACATTCCCTCAATTCCAGCCGGGGGCAGAGACATGGGAATCATATATGAGCAGATTCGAATGCTTTTTAAATGCCATTGATTTGTCTGAAGCTACGGACCTGAGGAAAAGGTCCTATTTTTTAAGCTTCTGTGGGGATACAGTTTTTGACACAGCCTCTGCGCTAGTGTCCCCACGTTCTATAAAGGCTATTCCCTGGGATGAGTTGAGGGAAATCTTGTCAAACGGCATCAGCCAATGGGAGCGATCGGCGCTCCTGCGTAGGCGGCGGACCAGAGGGAGGACTGCTGCTAGTCCTTGAACACAGCAGGTTTTTTTTATTTTCTAGTTCAAAAATGCCTGTAAATCGTATTTCAACATGCTGAAAATCTAAACATGGATGGATATACAGTGGAGCCTTGGTCGCGACCATAATCCATTCCCAGACTCTGGTCGAGACCTGATTTGGTCACGTCCGGAAGCACGACCGACTGCACATGAGTGCAGTAAAAAAAAAAAATGGCGCCGAAGGGGAAATCAACGCGGAATGTTCAGACTTCGTTCGCCACCCAATTTTTGAATCGTGACCTGGGAGCGTTTGCGACCCGAGGTTCCATTGTATCCACTGTTTACTTTATAGCATTTGATGGCATAAGCCAGGATAAGGCAATCCCTCTGCCACCTCACAATTCTGACAAAGTTTAGATTCTGAAAGAGGGAAGATTAAAATATCTGTTCTCTCCCTACTTGCTTGTCCCCTCCTGACTTGTATCATGGCCATTAATTTTTCCGCAAGGCTATTTCTTCAAGGCTGAGGATCAGCTTGCTCTCGGTGCTTAAGGGCTAATTCTGGATGCTCTTGATTTCTGTATGGAGAATGTCCTTTAGCTAACGGCCTTATATTTCCTAAGACTCATTCTGGCAAAGCTTAAGATTACAGAGTCCTTTTAATACAAGATGGCAAATTCAATGCTTTGGGCTTCTATCCCAAGTTTTCTTTTTTTTTTGTTTTGAAAATTTTATTTGGGTTTTCACAAAAACAAAATACAAATAAAACATCTTTTTTTTGGAAATAGCATGGTCCCAGGTTATCATTTCTTCATACAGACTCAATTTCATGCTCATTTTTATGTTCTATTCCATATCTTATTACTGTTTTATATTTTCTACAGTTTTTCCCCTCTTTTAATTTTCTCAACTTTATTTTAATTATCTCATCTCAATTCAAATCATTATATTTATACTTTTGTCTGTCCTGTTGCAATTTCATATTATCTTTTCCAATTAAACAAATTTTCCCCTGTAGTTACTAATTAGAGTATGACACCTTTATATCTTTTAATTTTATCCATTCAAACTCTTATTTAAGCTTCAATGTATACCTTTAAGATTATAGCATTCAATATAATACATAACTTCCAATCGAATTCTGCTTGGTACAAAATCTCACATTCCATTCCAATTCAATTCTATCATTAATATTCATTAAAATCTTAACAGCTTTAACATTTATTTTCAATTAAATATCATACTTCCTTGGGAACACTTATAAACTTTCCAAAATTAATTCTTTTCCCCCCCATATTTCTCACTTATATTTTTATAAATCATTAATAATAATTAAAATGTTCCCATCCTTTCCTAATTTAATTATCTCATTCACTTTAATTCATATAATTTATATTTCCTAAGACTCATTCTGGCAAAATTTAAGATTACAGAGTCCTTTTAATACAGGATGGCAAATTCAATGCTTTGGGCTTCTATCCCAAGAGTTTTCTATGTTGTCACAAGAGACTTCTGGATTTTGCAGAAACAAGGTAGCAGCTGCAATGCTGGTAAATCCCTACTCACACTCATGTCCTAATCACCTCCTGTTTTGACTTTTGCAATACATGCTACATGGGCTGCCCTTGAAAAGCAACCAGAAGCTCCAGTTGGTGCAAAATGCAGCAGCCAACATGATTTTGTGCAGACTTTACTTGCCGATTTGCTTCTGGGTACAATCCAAGATGCTGGTTGTCACCTTTAAAGCCCTCCATGGCTTGGGACCAGGTCATCTGAGGGACCGTCTCTTGCCAATCACACCCCCCCATGGGAGATACATCTGGTAGGGCCCAGTAGAAAGGCCTTCTCCGTGGTAGCTCCCTATCTCTGGAACATCATCCCTCGGGAAATTAGATTAGCCTCCACTCTGACACTCTTTTGGAAGGTCCTGAAGACGTGGTTTTGCCAGCGGGCCTGGGGAACCCAGAGTGGGATGGAGCCCGTTAAATAGTTGATATGACTGAATGTGTGTTGACGCCGGGATGGGGATTATTTTATTATTTTTATTTTTTATTATTATTTTTCTTTTGTATTGTGTTTTTATATCCTGTAAGGCGCCTTTTGTTGCAATGAGTGAGAAGGCGGAAATATAAATTTTTCCAAACCAACCAACCATCCAATCAATCAACACAGGCAAGTGGGGAAGGGGCAAGGAGAACTATAGCAATAGCACTTAGACTTACATACCGCTTCACAGCCCTCTCTGAGCAGTTTACAGAGTCAGCATATTGCCCCCAACAATCTGGGTTCTCATTTTACGCACCTCGGAAGGATGGAAGGCTGAGTCGACCTGGAGCCTGGTGGGATTTGAACTGCCAAATTGTAGGCAGCTGGCTGCAGAAGTAGCTTGCAATACTGCACTCTAACCACTGCGCCACAGAGGCTCCTTATGACTATAGTCATAAAGACCTCGGAAGACCTTACATTACTTACTGCAATATTTCTCAACCATCCGTGAGATAGCTGGGCAGTCCGTCATCTCTGCCTCAGTGTTTTTCCCAATCTTGACGCCTTTAAGATGTGTGGAGTTCAACTCTCACCATTTCCCAGTCAGCTTGTTAGTGAGAGAATTCTGGGAGTTGAAGTCCACACTTCTTAAAGGTGTCAAAGATTGAGAAACACTGACCTAGAGATTACTGACTGCCCAAGTATTTCACTGATAGTTGAGAAACTTTCTGACAGTGAGAACAATCAACCAATGGAACAGCTTGCCCTCGAAGTTGTGGGAGCGCCATCACTTGAGACCTTCAAGAAGAGATTGGACTGCCATTTGTCAGAAATGGGGTAGGGTCTCCCGCTTGGGCAGGGGGTTGGACTAGATGACCTACAAGGTCCCTTCCGACTCTGATTATCTGTTAAATCTGAAATATTGCAGTAAGTAATGTAAGGTCCTCCAAGGTCTTTATGACTGTAGTTCTCCCTGTCCCTTCTCCAGATTACTAGGGATTACTAGCTGCCCAACTATCTCACTGCTATAATTTTTGACATGACAAATAACTAAAGGGAGAATCAGCCTTAGTGCAATTTTCAATCATATGCAAGATTCATCTAGCACAGGGGTCTCAAACTCGCGGCCCGCGGGTCAATTGCGGCCCGCAGGACGATATCCTGTGGCCCCCACCGTGATATGAAAGTATAATATTAGTGCGGCCCGCAGGGGGAATGGACCTCTGAAGGAAGTCCCGCCCGCCGTTCCTCATCGTGGCTGACATTCGGTGCTAGGCTAAGCTACACCGACTTCATGCACACTACGCTTGTAAGGGAAGTGGAAATGACGTCATTTTTGTGGAATCCCTTATGCGGCCCAGCCTCACCCAGACTCTGCCTCCAGTGGCCCCAGGTAAATTGAGTTTGAGACCCCTGATCTAGCACAATCATGTACAGCAAAGAGGAAAGGCTATATGTGTTATCTAGCATCCATCTAGCTGCATATATTAGTAGCAGAATGGTAGGAAAATGGGAATATTAGGAAAGCATTCATTGCTCAATCACAGATTGGATCCTATACATGTAGTCCTCGACTTACAACCACAATTGAACCCCACGTTTTTGTTGCTAAGCGAGACAGCTAAGGGAATTTGCCTCATTTTACAACCTTTCTTGCCACCGTTGTTAAATGAATCTTTGTAGATGTTAAGTTAAATAAACAGGGTTGTGAAGTGAATCTGGCTTCCCCGTTGATTTTGCTTGTCAGAAGGTCGCAAAAAGGGGACCGTGTGACCGTCGTAAATGTGAGTCACTTGCCAGGCATCTGAATTTTGATTGTGTGACTGCGGCGATGCTGCAGCCATCAAAAGTATGAAAAACAGTCATAGGCCACTTGTGCTGTTGTAACTGTGAATGGTTTTAATGGTTACTAAACAAATGGTTGTAAGTTGAGGACAACCTGTGCTAACTTCCGTAATATAAGATCTACTAACTTCTCTTGTTTTGGTACAGAAAGGTTCCGCCATAGAAACATGGCACACTCCTGGGAGGCAGGAATTAGTCCCGTCATAGAAAGTGAGATGCCTTTTTCTTGTCCTGCAAAGAAAAAATAAATTACTAATCAGAGAAGACAGTGTAAGATTTGTAGTAAACATGGATGTAAATCATGAGTGTCCACCCTTTTGGCTTTCCTTGACTGAACAAGAATTGTCTTGGGCTGTATATAAAATATATAATGTATGATGATATAAATCCCATAATAATGTTCAAGAGTTTAGCATTTTGTGGCTTCCCCATTGACTGAGCAGGGGTCGCCAACTTTTTGGACCTCAGGGACCACCAAACTCATAATTTTAAATCCTGCGGACCATTAATATGAATTTTGACTGACGGTGGCTTGCTGATGTTGGTGGAAAAGTCGGTCCCGTATTCCAGAGCTGCAGTAGTCACAGGACTGGCCCTTTGGTCATCCCGGGATGATTCTTTATTTGGGATCGCAGGATACTGTCTCCAGCTCTGTTCTCAAAGAGACTTTTGGCTTCATGCAAGGAAAACAGCAGAAGTCTCCCTTTCTCTCCCCCAAACTCCGCCAGAACTGAGTCGTTGTGAGACTTGTCGTGCTGGCGCAGCCTCTTGGAGTAGGATGCCTTGCAGGGTCCCAAAGACTCATTTCTGGTGGAGTTTGGGGGAGAGAAAGACACATTTTCGTTGCTTTCCTTGCGTGCAGCCAAAATGTTCTGACCCAAACCCTTTTCCAATAAAACAAACAGGAACCAAAGGGAACAGAAACCTTTCAATGATTCTTACAAATCCCCGGTTAAAAGGCTGCTGCAAACTAATTAACTTTGATCAGCACAAGCCTCACCAAAACTGTGCAAGGCTGCCAAGAATAACAGATAAGGTTACCTAGAGATATTTTACAATACAAGAGTCTTCAAATACCAACTTAAGATACTGCAATGTCCACGAGGCTGGAGTTTCAAAACGTTTTTGCTTCCTACAAAGAACATTCGCTTCAGAGCTAGCTTTTATCTTTTTGAAGGAGGGGCCATTACCTTGCAGCCTTACTCCCGAGTTGCCCGTGCTGCTGCAGCTGCTCTTTCCTGCAAGCAGCCCTGCACGCACTTAGCACAGGCTCCTCAGGAACCTCCTCATCACTGCTGCCAGCGCCCACAATCTCTGAAGGCAGCAGTCCACTCCCTAATGGTGCTGGCCCCTCATCTGAGTCCTCGCTCTCCTCAACCGTCCGCACCTGCTGCCGGCTAACCACAACACAAAAGCAGAAGAAAGAAGTGGAAAGAAGCAGCCCGATGGCCAGGCGCAAGTGGGGCAAATTCCCCCACCCACCCTTTCCCCCTCACTACGTGTTGTTCACAATGCAAGCAACGCAAGCCTTGTGTTCCCGCGGGCCATGTGGGTGGCGCAGCCTTGTGTTCCCATGCAGCCTGGATTAATTGTTTGGGGGTGACATTTCTCTGCAGACCACCAAAATTTTCTTGCAGATCACCAGTGGTCCCTGCCCCACCGATGGGCGACCACTGTTTTAGAAGGTTTCAAAAGGGGATCACATGACCCCAGGACATTGCAACTGTCATGAGTCAGTTGCCAAGCATCTGAATTTTGATCATGTGACCATGAGGATGCTGCAGTAGTCGGAAGTGTGAAAAACGGTCATAAGTCACTTTTTGCAGTGCCGTTTTAACTTTGAACAATCACTGAACGAACTGTTGTAAGTCAAGGTCTACCTACATACTTTAGGTTAGAAGAAGTAACATTATCATAGGCAAATTAATGGAAAGCAGGGCAAACAGCATCTTCCAACTAAAACCAAACACTGTGGAAACAAAACATACCCACATCCTTCTAGTTGGGAAGATTGTAATAACAGCTCTAAATTATACTGGACAATCACAGTAACAGAATTACAGTTTGCTCGGGGTGGGGGGGGAATGAAACCTATTCCGACAGACACTTAGAAAGAGGCCTTAAACAGAAGCGAGACCATAATCTTAACTGATGATTAGAAGACTAGAAGTAAAAAAAAAATGCTTTCCAATGTTGTAAATCAGAACTGGCACTAGCATTTGGTCAGCAAAATTCAGCTGAAAACATTTGTGAACATACATAGCAAATGGGCCTGGGGGGAAAAAGAGTATACTAAAAATAGCCTCAATGCAATCCTGCCAAGACTTCAGAACTTCAACTCTCACCAACCCTATCAACACCACCAAAGGCAACGAACGGGAAGAGCTGTTAAATCCAAATATCTGGAAGGAATCAGGTGGCCGGCTCGTAATGCAATGTGTAAGGAATGAACAGGAACATGCCGCCACTCCTGCCAAGAAGATATGGCCTCTTGACAAATGACTCTGCTAAATGAGTAAGAAACCCATTTTCAGCTTTGCTGCCAAAGTTCCAAGCAACTATTACGCCCACGAGAAATATGCAGGCTTGCAATGCAATGAGAGACTACTCTCCAGTGGGATTAGAACTCCCAGAATTCCCTGGCGATGGCCATGATGACTAGGATTCTGGGAATTGCAGTTCTAACATGGGGTAAGCATTAGGGAGGCGCCACAATGTACAGCTGCAGCAATGACAACGTAATTGGGGGACAGGAGAGTGAAGCTACTACCATACTTCATACAGCAAGAAAACTAATGCGATGCTGCGCTCGTTTATTATTATATACAGCTGCATAAATATTGCTGTGACAATAAACAAATTCGACTACAGCTACACTTGGACTACAGCCTTCTTCGGAAGCCAGCCTTTACCCTGGGGGGTCCATTATTTCAGCTCATGGTTTGATTTTCAAGAAGCCGAAGTTATGTGCAAATCAGTTGCTTGCGTGTTGGCTCAAGAACTCAGCTTGGATCTCTTGTGACATGGTGTGCATCTTTAAACTAGAATCCATCAACTTTGCTTCAAAATGTAGCCTCTGCAGCAGCAGTTGGGGAGGAAAACGACTATCACAAGTGTTAACTTTTAGAAACAGGATTTCAAAAATGGATCTTATGGAGTCTAGCCATTATAAACTGTCCTGCCAGCTATAGGTAGCCTTTGACTTCCGACCACAACTGAGCCCAAAATCTCTGTTGTTAAGTGAGACCAAGTTGTTAAGTGAGTTTTGCCCATTTTACAACCTTTCTTGCCACCGTTGTTGGGTGAATCACTGCTGTGGTTAAGTTAGTAATATGGCTGTTAAGTGAATCTGTCCTTCCTGTTTACTTTGTCAGGTCGCAAAAGGTGATCACATGACCCTGGGACACTGCAACGGTCATAAATACAAGTCAGTTGCCAAGCATCTGAATTTTAATCATATGACCATGGAGATCCTGCAATGGTCGTAAGTGTGAAAAATGATAAAAGTCACTTTTTTTTCCAGTACCTTTGTAACTTCAAATGGCCACTAAATAAATAAGTTGAGGATTACCTGTATTTTAATGCCTGGGAAATTTACTTAATCCATTTCTTCCAACCCAAATTTTAGCCAACTTCACAATGGTGGTGGTGGTGGGGGGAACTAGATTCACTTAACAACTGCACTGATTCACTTAACAACTGTGGCAAATGGTTGTAAAGTGGAGCACAACTCCACTTTACAACTCACGTAGCAACCAAAATTCTGGGCTCTGTTGGGGTCGTAAATCGGGGACTATAACAATGGGATAAGGAGATAAGGTTGTTTTGGTGATATACGATGCCGGTTGACTCCATGGCTTTCAGACGAGATAATGACAGATGGTGATGGATTGTGTCTATGAAGGGTGAGGTGTTGAACCAATAGGATCCCAAGAGGGAGAGGGCCCATTCCAAGGAGGGGCAGGTGAGACCAGAGACAACACAGTCTGCGGTTGGATTGAAAAAAGAGGAAGAGATTTAAGGACAGCCATTCCCTCGACTCTCCCAAGGTAGATTCTTTGGGGAGAGTCTAGGGCCGTGATGGCGAACCTATGGCATGCATGCCGGAAGTGGCACACAAAGCCACTTCTGCTGGCACACGTGAGGTTGCCCGGAAGAGCCTTACTGCGCATGCGTGCGCGGGTGGCCGCCTAACAGCTGATTGTCGGGTATCTTGCGCGCATGTACAGGGGTGCATGGGAGACATGTGCACATGATGCATGGTGTGCGGGGGGAGGCGTTGCACCGCATGCACAGGGGGCATGGGGGGACCCAGCACACATTGCCTTCTGGGTGCTGGCATGTGAGCGCGAGCACAATTTTTGGCATGGGAACTGAAAAAGATTAGCCACCACTGGTCTAGGGAGTGGCTGTCCTAAATCTCTTCCTCTTTCTTCAGTCCAATTCCAGCCTCTGTTGTCTCTGGTCTGGTTCTCCCCTCCCCGAATGTGTCTCTTCCTTCTTGGGAACCTACTACTTCACTGTAGTCCATCACAACACCTCTTCCTTCATAGACACAATCCATCACTATAGTTTTAGTCTGGCAAGATTCTGTCTATATGGTGTAAGAAAATAAAGACCTGAACTTTGGCTGGATTGTTCTATGACTATGTCATTCTTGGGCTGGGCCTGGCACAGATGGGTTTGGATATGTGAACTGCAGGAATCATAAACTCAGTTTGTGGGCAATGGCGGAAGAAATCAGAACACTGAGGACTGACTGCAGAGCTGGCCTTTTATAAAAGATGGCTCACTTTATAAAAACATTCAAGATCCATTCCCGTTTCTTTAATAAATACTGTAACTGTTTCTACAGAATAGTAAGTGAAATTTGACAAGTCAATTGCACTTTTCATTTGTCTCCCAACAGTAATTCCTTTTGTGCAGAAGTAAAAGGAGGAAAAAGAGACCTAGAGTTGGTTTCAATGTGCTTTAATCCACCTAGTCAAAATACATAGTTGATATTGTGACTTGAATGCTGGTCTGTCTAATCTAGCTGAAAAAACTAGGTTTTGAGACCAGCTGTCTCAAAAAAATGCAGAAACCTTTCCTTCCTGTGCATCACATATATTAAAAGCTAAATGGATAAACCTTAAAGAGACATATGGCACATTTTCCTTGTGATTGGCTTAATAATCACTGCTCAAAAAAATAAAGGGAACACAAAAATAAGACATCCTAGATCTGAATGAATGAAATATTCTTATTAAATACTTTGTTCATTACATAGCAACTTTGTTCATTACATGCTCCTGATGAGGTGGCAGATGGTCTCCTGAGGGACCTCCTCCCACACCTGGACTAAAGCATCCCCCAACTCCTGGACAGTCTGTGGTGCAACGTGGCGTTGGTGGATGGAGTGAGACATGATGTCCCAGATGTGCTCAATTGGATTCAGGTCTGGGGAACGGGTGGGCCAGTCCATAGCATCAATTCCTTCGTCTTGCAGGAACTGCTGACACACTCCAGCCACATGAGGTCTAGCACTGTTGTGCATTAGGAGGAACCCAAGGCCAACCGCACCAGCATATGGTCTCACAAGGGGTCTGAGGATCTCATCTTGGTACCTACTAGCAATCACGCTACCTCTGGCGAGCACATGGAGGGCTGTGTGGCCCCCTAAAGAAATGCCACCCAACACCATTACTGACCCACTGCCAAAACGGTGTTGCTGGAGGATGTTGCAGGCAGCAGAACGTTCTCCAGACCCTGTCACGTCTGTCACATGTGCTCAGTGTGAACCTGCTTTCATCTGTGAAGAGCACAGGGCGCCAGTGGTGAATTTGCCAATCTTGGTGTTCTCTGGCAAATGCCAAACGTCCTGCACGGTGTTGGGCTGTAAGCGCAACCCCCACCTGTGGACGCTGGGCCCTCATACCATCCTCATGGAGTATGTTTCTGACCGTTTGAGCAGCCATACACACATTTGTGGCCCGCTGGAAGTCATTTTGCAGGGCTCTGGCAGTGCTCCTCCTGTCCCTCCTTGCACAAAGGCGGAGGTAGCGGTCCTGATGCTGGGTTGTTGCCCTCCTACGGCCTCCTCCATGTCTCCTGATGTACTGGCCTGTCTCCTGGTAGCGCCTCCATGCTCTGGACACTAATCTGACACAGCAAACCTTGTTGCCACAGCTCGCATTGATGTGCCATCCTGGCTGAGCTGCACTACCTGAGCCACTTGTGTGGGTTGTAGACTCCGTCTCATGCTACCACTAGAGTGAAAGCACCGCCAGCATTCAAAAGTGACCAAACCATCAGCCAGAAAGCATAGGAACTGAGAAGTGGTCTGTGATCACCACCTGCAGAACCACTCCTTTATTGGGGATGTCTTGCTAACTGCCTCTGCTTTCCACCTGTTGTCTATTCCATTTGCACAACAGCATGTGAAACTGATTGTCAATCAGTGTTGCTACCTAAGTGGACAGTTTGATTTCACAGAAGTGTGATTGATTCGGAGGTACATTTTGTTGTTTAAGTGTTCCCTTTATTTTTAATAAATTACATCTATCAAAAATAGTAAATTAAGAAGTTAGTTTTTTTTTATAAATTGCATCTATAAACAACAGTAAATTAAAGAGTCAGTGTGAGGTCAGAAAAATATCCTCTACATCTCTCCACTTGCAAAAAGAGGGGAATGTGTCAATTTCCAAATTACTTTAAAAATACATTCAAAACATCTTGATGTTTTTTTTAAAGCTTCCATCCTCTCTCCCTCTGTTGTCCATCTATTCTCTCTTCCTAGCCATAGATTTATCTCCTGCTTCCCCACCCTTGTTGTACTTTCCTTTCTTGCGAACTTGGCAGAAGAGCTGGGGAATCTCAGCAGAATAGACTTATCCAAGACATTTTGTTCTCTAAGGAGAGAAAGACAAATAGGAAGGCAGCCCGATACTTTTTCAACGCTGCCAAAGGACAGAAGTCTTTCAATAAGTAAAGCAGCATGATGGATTGTTTTTCTGGGGTGGGGTATCATCGTATGGTGATATGGAGAAATGTACGACAGTTTCTTAATCCCCTGAGACCTCTCCTCCTCTTCCTGCACATACTTCTGCATGAGAGGTTAGCTCTCTTCTTGGAATAAAACATTGTGCTAGCCATTACTGATTAAAAATAGCACTTAATGCATTTGACAGAAGTGGATTTTTGGAATGGTATCAAATTTAGCAGAATCTCTTGCCATATTAAGACTTGATTCTATTTCTGTTAGTTCTAACTCTACACAGAACCAGATTTCACCCCACCCCCACTTACCAGTCTATGAACTGGTCAATTATAACAAGATCTCCGGGCTGAATCTCTTCCCGTAATGAACCACAGGCAGTCGTCACTAATAGATGAGTGCAACCTTCTTCTTTTAGTGCCCACATATTGGCACGGAAATTGATATTTGTTGGCATGATAGAATGATGCCTCCCATGCCTAGGGAAAGAAGAGAGAGAAGGAATCTGGTTAAGACTAAAAACAGAATATAAAAATGGAGAATACATGGACAAGCTGCTTCTTGCCGTCCGCATTGCAATCAGGAAGCGATACAGCAGACCGTGATTTGCTCTGACCCATTTCAGCTACAGATGCCGAAGTGTTTTCAGGTTGAAGGCTCATATCTGGCCTTTTTTGAATGACAGGACAAGAGGCACATTCAGAAAGTGAGGTGGGATAGAAAAAATTACGTTTCGTTTCATTGCAATGGCATTGAAACTGTATCATTGTTTTCTCTATAGGACAGCTCATTTGTTGAAATGATTCCCCAGAGCACTTTTCTCAGGGGCTTTGAGTTTCATTGGAGCTACGGATAATTTATCCCAACCTTATGCAAATGTGAATTGAGGAGAATACTGGTCACCAAGACCAGGGTGAGAAGAAGTCAAACTGGGATTTAAACATGGTGGTCCCTTGTTGCAGTCCCTGAACTCACTTATTAGTGCTTAATGCTACAGCTATAATTTTAAGCATGGGAAGGATGGGGGGGGGGAGCAGCTTTTTGAGTAAGCAAGGTAGCAAGGAAAAGCTTCTAGAGTGGTCAATCCAGAATGGGCAGATTATCTATGTTACTCACCTTGTAGACCAGATGAGCAGACCTCAAGCTGCAGGTTATGAAGTTCTTGGTTCATATCTTAAGATTTTTTTTAAAAAAAAATGTGTTTGGACTGAGAGCCTTTATCATGCTTATACCCATAAGGGACTTTTTTTTTTCTTTGAGTCCTTGGTTTCTCAATCCTAAATCATAGTTCATTTGGCAAGGAAGCTCATAAGAAAATGAAAAAGCATAAATTAAGAAACTTAATCCATTCAATAAAGGTTTCTCCTATCCAGTTGTATCCGACTTTAGAGGGTGGTACTCATCTGTTTCTTGGCTAAGGGAGCCACTGTTATCCGAAGACAATTTCCATGATCATGTGGCCAGCTGAGAGGCATGGAACGCTGATACCTTCCCACCAAAGTGGTACCTATTTATCCATTTGCATCATTTCAAACTAAGTTTGCCGCAGCTGGAGCAAGGAACGGGAGCTCATCCTGTCGCGTGGCGCTCAGGTCTTGAACCCCGACTGTCAGCTTTCCAACTGATAAGCTCAATGACTTTAACCACTGAACCATCCCGTCCCCAGTTCAATAAAGTATATAACCCTGTATTTGGAAGAATAGAGTAATTGATATAATCTTCAAACTCAAGATAGGCGATTCATGGTGATTATGTAATTTTTTGTGAAAGTTGCTACTTCCCACCACCCATACTATGCCTTTTATCAGCTGCCTGATTGGTGAGCCGCTAGGAAGCAAGAAGAGATGATGGCACAAGGTAACTTTTGCAGAACAGCTGTTAATCCAATTTGCATTGTTATCAAGTTTGGCTTGATTATGATAAACGGCACATCACATTTTTTAATGCAACTCTAATTCATGTGTTTTAAAGGAATTTCACATACCTGGATAGAAGCACACAGTCAATGTTTTTTATCTTTCCTGAAATCAGTGCATCAGATGGCTGGAATTAAAAACAACCCACATTCAAACATATACTACAGAAGCATCATAAAACCCCACCAACAAATTAAAAAAATCTGATTTGCCACTAATCCAGGATCAAAGTGGAAATCCATTATGCACTACAATCCCACACATTAAATCACATGCAGAAATGAATCTCAATAGGTTTTGACAGACTCTGCTGCCAGCCAAAATTAAATGTACAAAAACCAATTACAAAGTCATGTTGTACATTCTTCAGAATATTATAATTCCAGCAGGGGTCCCCAACCCCCCCCCCCCCCCGCCGCCCATGTCCTGGTGCAGGGCAGCAGCCCATTTGCAACTGGGCCATAGAAGTGGTGGGCAAGCGTACGTGCATACAGATACGTGTATGCCCAAAGCTGCATTCGTGGAAGTGGCATACGCTTGCACACGAAGACATCCCTTTTTCCCCCTACCCCCATATCGCCATCTTTGCCGACTCTGAATTACAGGATCAATAGCAGCAGGCCACCAAGCAGTAAATGGCTATTCTGGGACCTGACCGCTTGGGATTCTTAGTGAATGCTATGAGACTAATTCAAAGTACAGAACATCCCAGAAAGACAATTTTGCAGCATCAATAAGCGGCAGGAGGGGATCCAGCTCTGATTCTATGAGAAATATTCCACCGGTATGAGATTCTATGAGAAGTAATGAAAAGGACAGTAGCTAATAAATCTGAAACCTATACGAAGTCACACTTGTGAATACATCTATCCCACTGTACGTACCCAATATGTACAAGCCTTTTTCATGTGTAAATAAGGAGAGCTGAATTCGTGGCCCCGCAGCCAGCTGCCATGGAATCCCCTTGCAAGTGTTAATCAAGCTATGTTAAAAATCCAATCAAGCTGCAAAGGTACTGGGTGTTTTTTCATAAAAACCTATGAGAAATCCTTGGAAATATGGCTCTACTTCATGTGTTTTCCCTAGCACAATATACACACACAAAACAAAGATGGCTTTGTTACCTATACACACCTTTCCGTATGGCGTATCAATGTGTTTCTCTGTTCGACCTTCTAATATCTCAGGATCATCCAGACCTGTCCCTCCGATAATTCCAATCTTCCAGAGAAGAAATATAGATTAGAAGACAAGATAAAAGGATAAACTCTTCATGGATGTATTGTAACTTCACAATTTCTTTATTGCTTTATTTATTTTGATAAGGCTGGCTAACACATCTCTTCAGCCTTAGGTGTCTTCCTTAATCACAGTGGAGGACAGATGGAAAAAGTACTAGAAACAGATGGCCACCAAGAGTTTCCACAAGGCATTTGTGTCAAAACAGGCACAGCAGCAAACCTCACTTCCTTTAGAAGCTGCCAGAAGCCCAGAAGAACAAATTCAACAACAACACTGAGAGGAACAGACCTGCCCCCTCCTTATCTCTGTTCTTGGTTCTAGATTGCCCAATCAACCCATACAGTTAGCAACGCTGGTAAAGTTTTCCTCTGATGAAGAGGAAATCTCTGTTCTAAAAACTGCAAGTCTTCCCGAAACCAGAAATATACACTGCTCAAAAAAATAAAGGGAACACTTAAACAACACAATGTAACTCCAAGTCAATCACACTTCTGTGAAATCAAACTGTCCACTTAGGTAGCAACGCTGATTGACAGTCAACTTCACATGCTGTTGTGCAAATGGAATAGACAACAGGCGGAAAGCATAGGCAGTTAGCAAGACATCCCCAATAAAGGAGTGGTTCTGCAGGTGGTGACCACAGGCCACTTCTCAGTTCCTGTGCTTTCTGGCTGATGGTTTGGTCACTTTTGAATGCTGGTGGTGCTTTCATTCTAGTGGCAGCATGAGACGGAGTCTACAACCCACACAAGTGGCTCAGGTAGTGCAGCTCATCCAGGATGGCACATCAATGCGAGCTGTGGCAAGAAGGTTTGCTGTGTCTGTAAGGGTAGTGTCCAGAGCTACCAGGAGACAGGCCAGTACATCAGGAGACGTGGAGGAGGCCGTAGGAGGGCAACAACCCAGCATCAGGACCACTACCTCCGCCTTTGTGCAAGGAGGGACAGGAGGAGCACTGCCAGAGTCCTGCAAAATGACCTCCAGCGGGCCACAAATGTGCATGTGGCTGCTCAAACGGTCAGAAACAGACTCCATGAGGGTGGTATGAGGGCCTGACATCCACAGGTGGGGGTTGTGCTTACAGCCCAACACTGTGCAGGACGTTTGGCATTTGCCAGAGAACACCAAGATTGGCAACTTCGCCACTGGCACCCTGTGCTCTTCACAGATGAAAGCAGGTTCACACATGTGACAGACGTGACAGGGTCTGGAGACGCCGTGGAGAACGTTCTGCTGCCTTCAACATCCTCCAGCATGACCGGTTTGGCAGTGGGTCAGTAATGGTGTGGGGTGGCATTTCTGTAGGGGGCCACACAGCCCTCTATGTGCTCGCCAGAGGTAGCCTGACTGCCATTAGGTACTGAGATGAGATCCTCAGACCTCTTGTGAGACCATATGTAGGTGCGGTTGGCCCTGGGTTCCTCCTAATGCACAACAATGCTAGACCTCATGTGGCTGGAGTGTGTCAGCAGTTTTTGCAAGACGAAGGCATTGATGCTATGGACTGGCCCACCCGTTCCCCAGGCCTGAATCCAATTGAGCACATCTGGGACATCATGTCTCACTCCATCCACTAATGCCACGTTGCACCAGACTGTCCAGGAGTTGGGGGATGCTTTAGTCCAGGTGTGGGAGGAGATCCCTCAGGAGACCATCCGCCACCTCATCAGGAGCATGCCCAGGCATTGTAGGGAGGTCATACAGGCACGTGGAGGCCACACACACTACTGAGCCTCATTTTGACTTGTTTTAAGGACATTACATCAAAGTTGGATCAGCCTGTAGTGTTTTTTTCCACTTTAATTTTGAGTGTAACTCCAAATCCAGACCTCCATGGGTTGCTAAATTTGATTTCCATTGATACTTTTTATGTGATTTTGTTGTCAGCACATTCAACTATATAATGAACAAAGTATTCAATAAGAATATTTCATTCATTCAGATCTAGGATGTCTTATTTTTGTGTTCCCTTTATTTTTTTGAGCAGCGTACTACTTATCTAGACTTCAGTTCCCAAACATCCACAAATCTCAGAATGAGCGTTGGTAGAAGTTACCGTGAACGCCCTTTCTATTTATGCTACGAGAGAGCCCAGGATGGGTTGACTCCTTCCCATGATGTCATAGCTGAGTCTGTATTAAGATATAAAAGCCAGCCCCCGGGAGAGACCCCAGCTTTGGCGAAGATACTTGACAGACTGTAAGGTGTCTCTGAAAGCCCAAAATAAACACAGAAATATGTCTTACCCTCTCTGGACGAATCAAGGGAGGGACTGGGCTCTCTTGCAGCATAGATAGAAAGGGCGTTCTCGGTAACTTCTACCAACGCCCATTCTTCTTCATGCTGCATCGAGAGCCCAGGATGGGACATACCAAAGCTTGCATGTCCACGGGCGGGTCCTCGTCTGGCTCATGACATCGACTGTGGAAACACTCATTGAAGCACCCGTCTGCCAAAGGCTGCAGTCGCCAAGGCAAAAGCATCCAGACGGTAGTGTCTAATGAAAGGAGATGGGGATGTCCACGTGGCCGCATGACAAATCTCCTCCAAGGATGCTTGGGTCGCCCAGGCAGCAGAAGTGGCCGCGCTTCTGGTAGAGTGCGCCGTCAGACCTCGGGGAACCGGAAGGGCCGCAGCTTTGTAGGCCTGCTCAATGCAAGACCTGACCCACCTGCTAATAGTAGGAGAAGAGGCCTTGTGCCCCAAGTGAGAAGGGAAAAAGGAAACAAACATGGCTTCCGACTTTCTGAAGGAGGAAGTGCACTTAATGTGTATTTAAGAGCCCTTCTTACGTCTAGCTTATCCAGAGAAGATGGGCGAGGACCTGCTGAAGGAGAAGCGCACTGTTCCTTGACCATGTCCAGGAACAAAATGGGAGAAGGCAAAACCTCTGCATGCACTACATACTTGGAGAAGAGCGAATCCCCTTGGCTAGAGGGATTTCCTTGTGGTTCGGGAGCCACTTCCTCTGGCGACAGCTTGGCAGTGACCAAGGCCTTGCTGAGTAATGGTCTGAAGAGAGTAGGTTTGAAGACTAATGCAGAGGATGTCTGGGCAAGAATCCACTTCCTCTGAAAGATTTTGGTCAAAAATTTCACCCTCTTCACACTCTGAATGAGAAGAGTAACTGTGTTCAGATGGTGAAGGCCTTCCTTCCTCATCAACTTCCTCCCATTCTGGTAGAGAAGAATGGACCCTGAGGTCCTGAGGCCTGTGTAAATCAGGATGATGAGGCAAGGAACTTATAGATTGAGAAGGGAGAAGGGCCTGAACCCTTTCCAGAGGTTGAAGAATTTGCTTGAAGCCTTCAGCCAATCCCTGCCTAATGGCTGATGAGACTACATCTTGGATATCCCTTAGTCTATGCTCAAAGGCAGAGGCAGAAGGCCGAAGGCCCGCTGCTGTGAGAGTGAAGGTGGCTTCAGGCCTAGATTGAGGAGAGGTTCGAGGCCTGGAGGGAAGGGGAGGAGCATAGGGCACAGAAGCCTGTTGGAAATAAGGCCCAGATCTGCTTAAATCCTGAGGATCTGACTGTACAGCAAGAGCCGCAGGAGACCAGGATGGAGGATGGAAAGGCTCATAGATAACTTCTCCTCCCTTGGGAGGGCTTGGTTGGGGCCCACGAGTATCACCTGAAACATGCTGTAGTTGCACTCCCTTCTGTTGAATAGTTCTGTTGAACTGCCTCTCTAGAGCTGCATGTCTGCGCTTCTCTGCCCTCAATTCAGCCTGAGTTGCCTTCTTAGGGGCTAGAGCCTTAGCTTTGATTTTAGCAGCCAACTCCCTCTGGACTGATTGGGTGCGTTGCCTACGTCTTTTTCTCCTATTGGGCTTAAGAGACTGTTCCACTGGGGGGAAAAGCTCTGCTAGAGCCTTATCTTGCTCCATTTGTAAAATAAAGGCTCTTGCGTTGGAAAGAAGCTGTTTAGAAATTTTTCTATTAAGCCCCTTAGGGTATAAATGGCGCCCAGGCTTACAAAATGGCCGCTCACCTCGTGGTGGAAGGCTTGAATCCAAGATGGCCGCTGACTACAGGAAAACAGGCTCCAAGATTGAAGAATCACTCCTTAGGCTATACAGAGCCCCGAGCGAAGTCAGCAAGGGAAAAACACAGCAACCATCTACACGATCAGCTGACTTGAGCTCTTATCAGTTTGCCGAGTTTACGATCGCTCCAAACTGCAGGCGTGGGGGAGGTCTGCAGACACTGCCCAGCTTGCCTGCACAGAGCTCTGTAAAGCTGCTCCCAACGTTGCAAGAAAAAGAGAGAGAGAGAGAGAGAGAGAGAAAGAAAGAGAGAGAGAGAGAGAGAGGCCCAGATCCCTGGGAGCTGCTTGAAGAGAGGAAAAATGTACTGAAGATCGCTGGTGATTGCTATCTAACAGAACGCTTTCAGAGACACAGCTACTGACTGAAAGGAGCTGAGTCAAAAGTTGAGGTCTCTCCCAGAGGCTGGCTTTTATATCTTAGTACAGACTCAGCTACGGCGTCATAGGAAGGAGTCAACCCATCCTGGGCTCTCGATGCAGCATGGAGGAGAAGCATCAAAGCTGGAGAAAGCTCATATGTAACACTAGAGAAGTAGCTTCTGGATCTTTCTACTGCAAAGGTCTTCAAACTTGACAAGTTTAAGACTTGTGGACTTCAACTCCCAGAATTCCTGAGCTAACATGACTGGAAGATGAATTCTGGGAGTTAAAGTCCACAAGTCTTAAAGCTGTCAAGTTTGAAGATCCCTGTTCTACTACATGAGATAGAATGGGCAACGCCAGACCAGAGCTCTTCACCTGTTGCTCAATTAGCTCTTTTGGCTACTTGATGTCTTAAACCTTATTTATTTCTAAAATTTGCCGCCTATCTCCTCATGGTGCTACTCTCAGTGGCTTACAACAATAAAGGAAGAAAATGAAAGGCGTGTAAACAGAACAGAGTGAAAGAATAGAATAAAATAAACAGTGAAAAAGGAATACACTGAGAGTATATCGACAAATCTTGCCACTTAATTTCTCCACAAGAAAGCTAAAAACACAACTTCAAATAAAGCTTTTAAAAATCCAGGCCAAAATATTTTTTTGTATCCCAACTTTATTATTTTTATAAATATCTCAAAATGGCGAACATAGCCAACATACATTCTTTCTCCTAATTTTCCCACAACCACAACCGTATGAGGTGGGTAGGTTTCACAGACAGGCCTGCAACCCCCAAGATCAAATCACTGGCCACATGGCTACAACTTCCAAACCAAAGATTGTCCACTCATGTGGTATGGAAATTATCCTCCATCGCATTGTTTCATTATTAACTCTGTATATTACCAGGATTCTCTAGGACTCATGCTTCTCTAGGGAAGTACTCTTATAGCACCTAATTTCCACTTGTAAATTTACTTAGGACACACCTTCTGCTATTGCATGTAATAAGGCAAGATAAAAGAGCAGTAAATAAACAAACCACTTTTAAGGAACCTTAGGATACTTTTTTCTGGTCCCTTGGCAGAAGTCTAAGAATGGCAAGATTCCGTAAAGTGTTGCTTTAAAAGTCAAATTAGTAAAGAAGCCATTGATTGTGACACACAGATTTTTTTTAAAAAAAGCAAAGCCCTATTTGATATCAATCCTACAGAAGTTCTTAAAATATCCTGTTGTATTTTTAACTACATAGTTTTTATGACCTTATATATAATTAGAACTTTGCTTTCCTTAGGACAGAAGGCAAGGGTCTTTTGATATTTGCCATAGATTCTGTGTGACATATTATCACATAATGGGAATTTGATAGTTAATGGGCTGGTTGAACAAGAAAGCCCCAAAACAATAGGCAGAAGGGACGAGAATTATGTAAATACAGTAATTTATCTACTATACTGTATGACATGATCTTGGCAAAGTAATTGCTTTTCTGTTATCTAAGGTGAATCAGATATAAGCAACTTTATTATGGAGTCTTACTCACAAAAATATTTCCTAACATCACTGACTTAATCACTCCCAGATAATATGGTAGATAATACCATACAACAGGGGTCGCCAACCTTTTGGACCTCAGGGACCACCAAAATCATAATTTTATATCCCAGGGACCACTAACCGGTTCTGTGGCCTAATTTGTGGGTGTGCCTTGGTGGTCATGGCTTGTATGTAAATATTATACATATTTATATAAATATTTAATTTTTTTTATAAAAAAGAGCAACGTTTATCCAAAATCAGGCAAAGCAGGCAGATTGAGCTGCTCACAGAATCATTCAGTGATCTATCTATCTGCCATCGGCTAGCTCAGTCTCTCAAATTTGCTTGCCCTGAGTCCGCACTGAATTTGCTTTCAAAGGTTACCTAGAAAGCAAGAAATCCAACCATTTTCGGCTTCCTAGCTAATCTAAATCTCCTGGCACAGCAGAAGAGATGATGATCAGAAAAAGGAAAAATAGAAATTTAGCAGGCAAGTTTACTGGGTAAAGAGTGAGTGGGCAGGGAGGTTCCCCCGGGCCATGTGGGCTGCACAGCCTTGTGTTTCTGCGCATCCTGGATTAATTGCTGGGGTGGTGGTGCTCTGGGGGTGAGATTTCTCTGCGGCCCACCAAAATTTTCTCACGGCCCACCGGTTGGTGACTGCTGCCATACAAGACACTCTGCATTTTGATCCAAGTTAGTCCTCAATTTACAAGCATTTGTTTAGTGACCGACTGTAAAAGGTGACTTATGACAATTTTTCACCTGTAGCACCCCCATGATCAAATTTTGGGCACTTGGCAACTGGCATGTATTTATGACAGTTGCATTGTCCTGGGGTCATACAATCACCATTTGTTAACTTTCCCAGCTGGCTTTCAACAAGCAAGGTCAATGGGGGAATCCAGATTTGCTTAACAACTGTGTGATTCACTTAACAACTCCAATGCTTCATTGAACTACTGTGGCAAAATGGTCATAAAATGAGGCAAAGTTCACTTAACAACTGCCTTGCTAAGCAATGGAAATTTGGGACTCAACTGTGATCTTAAGTTGAGGACGACCTGTACAGTAGAGAGAGATAAGATATAAGTCTACCTTAGTCCATGGGAACTGCATGTTACAGGCCTATAAGAACATGGGTTGACAAATTTGTTTCAGTCTATGTTCTCCCATCCAAACCTTGACCTATGAATGGTTTGATTGATGAAGCTGCAGTTTGGCTAGGTGGACAATGCTCTCTAAAACAGGGGTTGCCAACTTTTTGGACCTCAGGGACCACCAAACTCGTAATTTACAATCCCGGGGACCACCAATATGAATTTGACTGACGGTGCCTTGCTGACATTGGTGGGAAAGTCTGTCCCATATTCCAGAACTGCAGTAGCCACAGGATTGGCCCTTTGGTCATCCCGGAGCAGCTGCTGCTTTGGGATGACCAAAGGGCCAATCTTGTGACTACTGCAGCTCTGGAATATGGGACAGACTTTCCCACCAACATCAGTAAGCCATCCTGGGGCGGATTTCCCTCCTCCGCCATTGGTCTTACCTTCCAATTCCAGCTCACATGGCTCTACTCAAGGTAAGGTTTGTGCTCAGCCGAAAGGTGGGGTCCAATGGATGGGTGGGTCATGTGGTGGCACAGCCTTGTGTTCCTGTGCAGCCTGGATTAATTGCTTTGGAAGGAGTGCTGGGGGGGGGGGGACATTTCTCTGTGGACCACCAAAATTTTCCTGCGGACTAGCAGTGGTCCCTGGCCCGCTGGTTGGCGACCACTGCTCTAAAACAGTGTCTTTTGACTTTTTTGTAACAGAAGACAGGCTTAGTGGATTTCGCTACTATAAACCACACGTTTACCTAACTAAATACATTTTTGTCTGACCACAAAGAACAGGAAGGAACTATAGCGGCTTCCTTGGTGAAGGAGGGAAGCAACCTGGGACTAAGAAGAAAGTTCCTAACAGTGAGGACAACTAACCAAGGGAACAATAGCTTGCCTTCCTTCAGAAGTTGTGGGTGCTCCATCACTAAAGATTTTTAAGAAGAGACTGAACAGTCAACTTGTCTGAAATGGTATAGGATTTCCTGCTTGAGCAGGAGGCTGGACTAGAAGACCTCCAAGGTCCCTTCCAGCTGTATTCTGATCAATCAAAAAGTGACTTTATTACTGGTAGCAACATGCAGATCATGAAAAGCTAGTCACGGTTGAACCTGGTTAGCACTTAGATTGGGAAATATCAGAAGAATCAACCCGGAATATCCATCAAATCATCAAGAGTTGAGCATGCTCGGGTTTAGGCACGCTCAGGTATAGGTTGCTAGTTTTTGTTAAGTTTTAAGGTATCTGCATAGTGTCTGGGTTTTTTTTTTCCAGATCTGCTTTGTGCATCAGCAGAACAGCGGGAGAAAAAAAATTCAACCTCACAGGTAGGGCTTTGTTTCTATCGTACAGGTAGCCCTCAACTTCCAACCACAATTGAGCCCCAAAATTTAGGTTACCAAGCCAGAAATTTGTTAAGCGAGCTTTGCCCCATTTCACGACTTGTCTTGCCACATTTGTTAAGTGAATCACTTGCAGTTTGTTAAATTAGTAACACGGCTGTTAAGTGAATCTTGTCCCAAGGTTGCAAAGAGGGGATCCCATGACTCCGGGGACAATCCGTCATAAATATAAATCAGTTTTCAAGCCCTTGACCACAATGATGGTTTAAGTGTAAAAAATGGTCCTGAGTCGCTTTTTTCAGTGCCGTTGTAACTTCGGTCATTCAGTGAACTATTGTAAGTCGAGGACTACCTCTATTGCTTTCCACGGCATCTAAAGAGCCTCCAAAACCCAGTACAACAGTACTCCAAAGCCCAGCGATCTCCAGTTTCAAATTCCAAGGAGGTTGGGGAGAGAAAAAACAACAACAGGAGCTCTCTATCGGTTGCATTGTGCTTGAAGGCAGGCAGCCCCACGATCTATCCAGCTCCTGGCTTTCCATCTGAAAACGGGGAGAAAAATAAATCCAGCCTCATGGCCGATCCGCAGAAGGATCAAAAAAAAAAAAAAAAAAAAGAGGCGGGGGGAAAAGAGGTAGAATAAAGTCCAGCGCAAGCGGAGCCAAAAGGGTTGGTTACAAGATAAGTAGGAGATCTATGGTGGCAAAGCTGAAAAAACCCTTTTCGAAAACCGGATTTTTTTTTGCCACGATCTGATTCCCCGCTCTTTCCCCCTTTTTGCAGCAGCAGCAACAACAAAAAACGTTTACACAACTCACACTTTGCGCGCCTTTGCTCTGCAGTAAATCTTCCTGGGCTTCCAGCCGGGTTTGCAGCCCGGGAGAGCGGAAGTTTTACAGTAAACCCCTCCGTCCCCGTCCCCCGTCCGAGAAGCCAGGCACCACCGCCGCCGCCGAAGAGAATAAGCGCTGATTCTTAGGCCGGCCCAAAAGGTGCGGCGAGTCGGTCTCTTCGGAGCTTCTCCCCCCCGTGCCGAGGCCCCGCGGGCGCCTCTTTGCAGAGCCCCGAGGAAACCGCTCGGTTTTTTGGGGTGGTGGTGCTGGAGAAGATTCCTCCCCACCCCGCTCCCCAAAGCCGAGGGGGCGCTCGACGAAAACGGCGGGCTAAAGAAGGCTCCTTACCTTCACGGCCGAGCAGACGGCAGATGCAGCCATGTTCGCCCGGAGAAAGAGGAAGGAAGGAGGCGGTGCCGACTTCTCCGCCCAGGGATGGGTCTTCGTGCCGGGAAGCCTGAAATATGGGAGAAAGGGGAAAAAAAAAATTCCAGCGTCTCGCCTTGGGCCGATATCGTTGCGCGAGTCGTCGTCCCCCCACTCACCCGGTTTTTCTTTCGCTCTTCAGTGACGGAGGATTTGCAGCTCTTTTTTTTTAAAAAAAAAATATTATTTCATTTATCTCTTGGCTTTGTAGAGCCGTCCAAAAACTGAGGGCGCCGCGCCTCGTCAGGCCGAGGCGATTTCCAACCCCGGCACACGTTTGAAAGCCGCCCAAAATCGATTTGTGAGGGGGTGGGGGGGAGGGGGGGAGAAAAGAAAACAAAATGTGGTCCTCGTGATCCAATGGACGTATCCGGGCTTTGATTTTCTGCTGAGCTCAATTTGGGACTCTGATCAAACGGGAGGGAGGAAAGATTTCTCTCACACAAATATGGAAGAGAGAGAGAGAGAGAGAGAGAGAGTGTGTGTGTATCCAGTCTTCTTTTTTAGGGTGTCTTCTTAGACCAAGGAATAAAATGGAGGGAAAGCTTATAAGCAAACAAAAATTGTGACGTTGTACAGTGTTTATGGACATCTTGGATAATCTAATGCAGTGTTTTAATTTTGTGGTGGGGAAGCCTGTTCTTAAATAAAGTTCGTTTTAGCATTGATTTTGTTATTGAAAAGGAAATTATTTCTGCTCTTGGGGGGTCGGAAAGAGAAGCACTAAAGCAGACCTGGTTAATGCTTTTGAATGGGAGAATCGAAAATCCCATGGTTGTAGCAGGAACTCATAAAAATTCCAGAAGATGGCAATAGCAAGCTATGATCACCTTATTGGAAGGTAATTATTTAAACTTGTATGTGTGTTTTGGATGGAACAGCCAGGTGGCATCGCTAACCTTGACTGATCTGAGATACTGAAAAGATTGGATCTGGTTAGTATTTAGATAGGAGGAGGCAGACTTGGAAATTATTCTCTAATGTACGAGTAGCCTGGCCTGTTCCTTGCATATCAACCAAACAACTGAACAATTTGTTTCCCATCACTCCCAAAATGCAGTACATGATATAAGGATATAGACTGCAGGAAGGCAATTTTTCATTAAATGTTACAAAAACTTTCTTATAGCAAGAAGAGCTTGGCAGTGGAACTGATTATCCAGAGAAGTGATAACACTCTGAATTGAAGAAGAAATGAAGAAGCTTCTTGGAAGAGAAGCAAAGTGTCTTCAAGGAAAAACAAAGTCCAGTTGCCTCTTGAAAAATTATCTTTGAGACAGCCATGACCTGGATGACTAGAGAATCTGTATAGATATGATAAGATTTGCTTCACAGTAAATGTTCAAGATGAGGCTAGGCAGCAGGAAACTTTGAGGATGATATGGACTAGTACCTACATTATTGATCCGACATAGTTTAGAAATGTTTTAATATTGCTGACCAAAGGTTTGCCCCCTGATCTATCAAGATAACGCAGGGATTTCCACCCTGAAGACTTGATAGTTTTCCAGTTACCTAATTTGGCAAGCTTGTCTGTCTTGAGATACTGAATTTTGTTGTTATATACAAATGGAATACATCAACATGCTTTGTTCACTTTCAGAAGTGAATTACTACCAACCTGCCTTCCATTGAGGACCTGTATCCTGCACGAGTCAAAAAGAGGGCTGTTTACAAACCCCTCACATCCCGGACATAAACTGTTTCAGCTCCTTCCCTCAAAACGACGCTATAGAGCACTGCACACCAGAACAATTAGACACAAGGACAGTTTCTCCCCGAATGCCATCACTCTGCTAAACAAATAATTCCCTCAACACTGTTCAACTATTACAAAGTCTGCACTACTATTACTGTTAATCTTCTCATCGCTCATTATTACTCATCCCCTCCCACTTGTGACTTGTATGACTTTTATGCCACCAGATAATAACTGAATGCACCAATTATCACATTAAACAAGAGGAAAACCTACGCACCAATTCCACTCGCGCTTTCTACAATTTTGTAAAAAACAAACTAAAGACTCAAGGTCCATCCCACCCCTGAAAGGACCTAATGGTAAAGACTGCAACGACGACACTATTAAAGCCAACCTCTTTAACACATTCTTTGGCTCAGTATTTGTAAACAGCAATGGATCATGCCTAGTATTTCCTAGTCGAACCACAGACAACTACAATGATCTAATACATATCAATTTTACAGAAGACAATGTTGAAAAAGCACTACGCAATCTAAAACCATCTCTATCTATTGGACCGGATGGAATATGTGCCTACTTCTTTAAAAAGCTATCCACTGCCATAGCCGAACCTCTAAGCATAATCTTTGAAAAATCTTTCAGGACCCGCTCCTTGCCAAAACTATGGTCACAAGCCACAGTCATCCCCATCTTCAAAAAGGGAGACCCCAGCCTAGTTGGAAATTACAGACCAATCTCCTTATGCTGCGTCACCTGTAAAGTCATGGAATCAATTATTAACCAATCCATCATCCTCCACTTAGAAACAAACAACCTACTCTCTAATAAACAATTTGGTTTCAGGAAAAAAACTATCATGTAATCTGCAACTCTTACACTGCAAAAACATACGAACTACACAACTCGATCAGGACAAAGCAATAGATGCAATCTACATTGCTTTTGATTTAGTGGTACATGACAAACTACTCCTAAAACTAAAATCTTACAGTATCTCTGGACATCTGCATAACTGGAAAGAAGCATTCCTGTCAAACAGACAACAAATGGTCAAAATTGGGAGTGTCAAATTCTGTACCTGTCAACAGTGGTGTCCCCCAAGACAGTGTTCTAGGACCAACTCTTTTCATACTCTACATAAATGACCTCTGTGATCATATCAAGAGCAACTGCGTTCTCTTCACTGATGATGTAAAGCTATTCAACACCACAGACAATACTGCTACCCTTCAAAAAGACCTTGACTATGTATCAGAATGGTCAAACAAATAGCAACTTCAAATATCAAATAAATGCTCAGTCCTACATATTGGCAAAAAAAAATCAGAAAATAAAATACAAGCTGAATAGTCCAAACTCCTCTACTCCTCTACTCAATTTCCACTCCTCTACTCATTTTCCACTCCTCTACTCATTGCAGAATACCTTATGCCACCAGACTCGAAATTCTAGACCTAGAAAATCTAGAACTATGCCACCTTCGGTCCGATCTAAGTATAGTATATAAAATCATACATTGCAATGTCCTACCTGTCAATGAATACTTCAGCTTCAACCATAACAACACAAGAGCAAACAATAGATACAAACCCAAGGTTAATCGCACCAAACTTGATTGCAAGAAATACGACTTCAGCAACAGAGTGGTCAATGTCTGGAATACTGTACCTGACTCTGTGTTTTTTTTCCCCAAACCCCAAAAACTTTAACCTTAGACTGTCTACTATTGACCTCACCCCTTTCCTAAGAGGTCTGTAGGGGGCTTGCATAAGCGCACCAATGTGCCTACCGTCCCTGTCCTATTGTTTCTTTTATTTCTTTTATTTATTTTTCTTATATGTATCCATGTATTCATAACTATGTTTTTACTTATGCCTATTATCTTGTAAGCAATTGACAAAAATAAAAATAAATAAATAAATGACTGTAACTTTGTTGCTTGTATCCTTACGATTTATATTGACTGTTTCCTAGTATGATTTGATTGCTTATTGTACCCTATGACTATCATTAAGTGTCGTACCTTATGATTCTTGACTCTTTATGAATGTATCTTTTCTTTTATTTACACTGAGGGCATATTCACCAAGAGAAATTCCTTGTGTGTCCAATCACACTTGGCCAATAAAGTATTGTATTGTATTGTATTGTATTGTATTGTATTGTATTGTATTGTATTGTATTGTATT